ACACTGAATTCCAAGTGACCGCAACGCATTACGTAGAATTAAAACGGCCGATTACGCTCTACGCAAATGGGCATGCGGGGCCCCCTTGCATGTACAGTGGGTCTAGCAAGACTCGTTCCACTGTAGCATCGTAGACAACAAAGGGGGTACTCGGGGGTAACTGTACTTTTTATATTATCTCCAAGCAAATCTTACAGTAGCCAAGACAGTAACGGTCCAAGAGGCACCACAGTATATCCAAAATGCTACCTAAGCATATTCTAGATCTACTGGCTACCGAATGATCTACTTGGAGATAACTTCCCTGTTATTTGCACGCCACAAAATGGCGGACCGAACTCGTGAGCTACCCGTGATCCGCCCGTTCCAAGGTCCACACGTACAAAGTACGCTAACGGCAGCGTGCACGGGATCATCTCCAGAGTCAGAGTAGACGGGCACACAGTACCAGTATCAAGGACATACAGTGCTAGTACTAGATCAAAGGAACGAAGGCGTTCAATGGAAGAATGAAGGCGTTCGTAAACCGTTGCAATTGGCGTGTGATAGATACTACAGATAACAAGATTAAATTTTTATACATAGATATTATACGAATAGGTAACTTATAATATAGAGTGAAATGGATAGGTATGAATTGATAGACATATAGGTAATAGGTAGGTAAAATAGGTAGTAGATAGAGATAAATAAGTAGAAAGATGTATAGATGTATAGATGTATAGATAGATAGATAGATAGATAGATAGGTAGGTAGGTAGGTAGGTAGGTAGGTAGGTAGGTAGGTAGGTAGGTAGGTAGGTAGATAGATAGATAGATAGATAGATAGATAGATAGATAGATAGATAGATAGATAGATATCTGTAACGTTTGGCCGAATTTTTTTTCAGAATGAGTGAGTCTGAGAGCGGTCCGGAGAGCGAAGACAGCGACGATTTTCTGAACTCTGATACCAGCGAGGTCTCTTTCGACTACAGCGATACCGATGAAGAGCAAGAAAGTAAATAAGCTTTTTTATTTATTTAACAAAAATCAGTGTCTGCAACGAAAAACCTATCCACCATGCGCAATTCGTGACCAATGCATGTTCGGATCACGTGACATCAAATTAAGAAGTTCTGGTGCAGTGCCATAGCCACCATCTCATCAAGACCTACCCACCTACCAAATATGAAGACTATCTACAAGCCGTCCAGAGTTATCGTGTTTACAAACTCAGACACAGACACACACACGAACGCCAACGAAACATTAAACGTATATATCAGCGCCACCATTAAATAAACTTTATGATATGATAATGCATCAACTAACAAATAAATGTATACCATCAAAACAAACAATTTAAAGTTAAACATAAATGTTATTTCGTATAATGTATAGGAGCTTTATCCCAACACAAGGGTACATGAGGATGAAATATCAAACTACCACTGTTGGAATAAAGTGCATTGCACCATGATTACTACCAACTCAAATGAACCTTACTTCTATAAGCGAAAGTTCCACCCACCCAATATATCTACTTTCACTTTCATTCCATGCCAGTTTGGTGAGCATTGAAGATGGATACTTTAACATCTTATATAATAATGCCTGGCCAACTTCACTATATGCGTAGTTCTACCTATCAATAGCACGATAAATTCACTTTTGAAATGTGCTTTATATAAAAATATGGACATTGTTGTTTCCTACCAGGTCTGCAGGTTGCCATCCTGCACGCGGCAGAGGATGAGGAGTTCGTCAGGAGGCTGGTGGAGGAGCTGATGGGTCTGCACCTGGGTGAATGGCGTCTACCCCGGACAGCCATATTCTGTAAGCAGGTCACAGGTGCTCCTGGTGCCGTCAGCCGCGCACAGCTCACGTCCACACTGACCCTCGGCAGCGTGAAACTTGTCGTGCCCGTGATCAGCAGACACCTGCTTGCTGACCAGTCCTCGCTCACGGTCGGACTGGAAACTGCCGTCAGGAACAACAAGCCTCGATACGTCATTTGGCTGGACCAGAACGAGGATGACTTCCGTGAGTTCAGTACGTTAGTCAGCCGGCAGTACCCAACCCTGGAGGCGCCGGCCAGGCGGGTCCAGCGGGACTGGGTTGGGGAGACGATGCCCGGCAGTCTTGTCAGTGGGATGGAAGGCATCGCCCGGGATGTGCGTGACGCGCTCTGCAGACAAACAGGTGACGGTGGACACAGTATGGCTGCTATAGAAATCAAATATCACTTACAAATAAACGTTAAGGCTGTTCTCACAACAACGTTAATATTGGTAGAGTGTTTAGTCCAGTGATTAGCGACCCCGCCTCTGTAATCAAAAGTGACACTTTCACTTTCAATTTCACTGAATGAAAAAACGTAAAGTAAGCTCAGTGGAGTGTAAGTGTTCAAAAATTTGGTACTTTGTAGTACAAAACATTAACAGGTAGTGAAAAACACAAAGAACGAAATCCTTTTTAGAAGAATTACAAAGAAGATTAAAAACTTTGTACGATGGACCATTAAATGTGTCATCGGGATGTTACACAAAAATAATTATATCATAAGATTAAATACTGTTTAAATAAATGAAGGTTTGTCATGCACACTACAGTATATAATGTACATCAGCAATAGACATTGTATGCCTCAACACTTTGTAAATTGATTCGATGTCTCTACAAAGAGCGTGTCAGGTTAGAATGACGCATGCCGTTTGTCTGTTCATCTCCACAGGTGAACTGAGGTACCCGTGCTGGGCGGCCTTGTTGGACACTCGTGCGTTCCTGTCTGACAACATGAACCTCCCAGCTGTTCTCACACGGCTGGAACAGGAGAACCAGCTGAGTCCGGCTGACGTCCGGTCTGTCCAGGTAAGCTACGTGGTGGAACCGGCACTTGTCGGAGTCTTGATAAAAACACCACCTCGTCACATGTACTTTAGATGTTTAGGGGATCGAACTGATCAACACCATGGAATGATGATAACGCATGTACCAATGGTAATGTGTTTTCGCATGGACACCTTTTATTTCAGAAGTATGATTTTGCTAAATTGAAGTGCCTCTCTCTTTAAAACCTGACCACAGAGAAACGCCACCCACACGTACAGTAGAACAGAAATGTTAACTAATATTTTATTTTTTTAAGTAAGATCACCGTCCCACCTCCCCACCCCATGTTCCGTCCCCCAGGCGGAGCCGACACCAGTAAGCCGGGCCCGCCGGTTGGTAGTCATGCTGGATCACAGGAGGCGGCAGGAGCCGTACGACTGGTTAGTGCGGGTCCTGCGGGAGGAAGGACAGGACTTCCTGGCGGAGGAGATGGAGGAATGGGAGCGGCACTGGGAGCGGCGCTTCGGCATCGGGAAACAGCAGGCGGCACAACCTGGTCAGCAAATCGGGAAACAGCAGGCGGCACAACCTGGTCAACAAACGGCACAGATGGAACAACTTACACAGGAAAGTCAACGTAAGCTCAGCTCTGACGTTTAACATTACTTTAACATTAATATCTCTAATACAAAATTACAATATGATAGTATGGTTTTAGTCAAAGGTTAAAGTATGTTTGATACTCAGCAAAATAATTATAAATTGATTATTATCATTGATCCATATTTTCTATTCACCCACCCTTAATAAGTTATCATAGTATCCAATACTACTAGACTGTTTAACAAAAACATACCATTCTTAAGTTAAAAAATATCCCGTTATTGGAAGGTTTTTCTCTTACAGTCATTTTATTTCTCCGTAGAGTTTTCCGCTCACAATAAGTTTATTTCTGATCAGTGCTTTCGCCTCACCTGTTACACCTCAAATTCATCGCTTTAACAGACGAGGAAATAGTAGAAATGTATGTCTGAAAAAGGTCAGAAGCAGACATTTCAAACTGTCCATATATCAGTGTCCAATATTTATGGTCGACATTTGTGTGCTGTCTATTGTATTTATCATACTGCGTGTAACCATTTCTACAGTAGTAACAATGAAGAAACATCTACGCCATTCCGAAGCTCATGCGGACGACGCCACACCTTTGGAAGTCAAGGGCGTGTTTCTGGGACAGACGGAGGCAGGGAAGACCAGTCTGCTCAACTGTATGATAAAGGGTCAAGGTCACGTGGAGACTGAAACTGACAGAACCATCGGTGTTGACGTCATCCGGTTCCATGACAACAAGAATAACGTCAAGTACGCGATGTACGACTTCGGAGGTCACCAGATCTACCACTACACGCACCGGTTCTTCCTGACACGTCAGGCCCTGCACATCCTCAATGTAGACCTGCCAGCATACAAGTCAGAAGAGTTCCAGGAACGAGTGATAACGTGGCTAACATCCGTGACTTCCCACGTCTTCAACCCGGCTATCCTTGTTGTAGGAACCAAAGTTGACATGTTTCCGCCAGACAAGGCCGAGGAGATGATAGCAGCAGCTTGTTCCTCCATCCAGAGAGACATCCAGGGCGCCGAGAGTAAAATACAAGCCAAGCTGACAGAAGAGATTCAACTCTGTCAGAAGGCGTTGGATGCAGTAGACAGCGGATCAGACATGCCCGAGCCATTCTACGGTCTCACAAGGGACGACGTCTTGGCCAAGAAAGAGTCACTGGAGAAGTTACTGGACGGACGACCCAAAGGTCTGTTGAACGTACAGGTTATCCCGGTCAGCAGCAAGACGTTCCAGGGTATCGGAGCTCTGTGCGACAAGATGGCAGAAATGGTGAAGGACGAGCGATTGTTTCCTGCTGCCCGCCAAGAGCTGCCGACTTCCTGGACAAAACTGTCAGAAAACATCCAGGCGACAGGACGGACCCACCTTCAAGTCAGGGATTGTCAGGACGTCGGAGCAGCTGCAGGGATGAAGGAGTCAGACGTCCTGAACGCGCTCAGCTATCTGCACGTGACCGGACAGATCCTGTTCTACAACCACATCAGGGGGATGGAAGATCTGGTCTTCCCGGACCCAACCATCATCCTCACACTCTTCAAGCAGATCTTCAGGCATGACCTACCGGGATATCTGGACAGCATAGCTGAGCATCTGTCTGAGCAAACCAGAGCGCAGTTTGCTGAAGACAGGGCGGCCTTCTTGAAGACGGGCAGGGCCAGCGACAGTTTCATGAAGAACCTGATTGGAGACAACATTGTCACCTTCAACAGTCTCCTTCCCCTGATGAAGCACTTCGGCCTGTGTTACTCAGGGTCGGTGATCTTTCCAACAGAGCTTCCTGCCGCCCAGCCTGACGAGGTGGCGCACTGCTGGCCAGAGGTTGTGCCATCAGGTGGAGAGGAGATCTCTCTTACTATAGAGTACAGCCAAGAGCCTCCTCTGGGTCTACCGGAAACCATGGTCTCCCGTATCCTGTCCATGGAGCAGACCACACGCCGTCTCCTCACCAAGGACACAGTTGTCGTTCATGTTGGAGAGAACTCAGAAGACGTCATGTACCGCCATTCCGCTACAAGAGAAGAAATCCGGATCCGGGGAGAGCCGGAGAAGGCGTGGCGCCGGGCTCAGACGGTAGTGAGGGAGATAGAGGCCTGTTGGGACGAGTTTCCTGCCTTGTACTCCAGTAACAGTGTTGGAAGCGAGGAAACAGCAAAGTCCCTCCCTATAGAGGCTGTAAGGCGTCACGTGCCGGGGGACTTGATCAGAATGTCCAGGGGAAGCTGGGAAGGGCCACTTCCGGTCACCAGATCGCCGAGTAACGTCAACGACAAGTACTTAATAGGTAAGTACGACAAACGGACTTACGTACGTAAAGTAATATGTATGATCAAAATGTTAGCATGTTCAACAGAGTTCAACATGTTCAACAAAGTAAAACGAATGGTTCTTCCTTGTTAATTCATGACACCATCTATGTCAAGACATTAAACACCGTGTAAAATGCAAATTTTAACGTATGTCCCCCCCACCTATTATGTCAGTTTCACTTGGTACAACTATGTGATTCGTTTACTTTACCGAAACATTGATGTCCTTTCTGCCCAGACAACCGGCTGTACCAGGTCAGCAGGGCTGTTGGTGTGGAGTGGACCCGGCTGGGACAGAAGCTGGGACTAAACAGGTCTGTGTTGGATAACATAGAGGGGGAGTACAGTACTTTGGACACCCAGAGGGCGTTTCAGATGCTGAAGGCCTGGCGCACCAAGACCCCCCACGGACCGCTCCACTACCTGCCGCAGCTGGAAGAAACACTGCAGAACATCGGCAAACTGGACCTGGCTAAACACGTGCAGGGGGTGTACAAGGTGGGTTAATGAACTTAGATTTAGATCATTTCCCAAGGTGATGTAACAGACCCCAATCATAAGCATGATTAATCCTTTCTTTAATCTACATGTAATAATTATGCCGTTGTTATAATACTCTACCACAACAGATTGCATGCAATCGTTTAAAACATTTCAATGTATAATGATTTTGTTATGGCCATATGTAAGAAGAATTCAAAACATGACAAAAAGAATTCTTATCCTTTTTCAAATCCTGTTTTCATCGATGGAATTTATTTAAGTTATCCGAATGCAATTCAATCCAACAAAATTCTTTATCATGTCAAGTTGATATGAAACAGTAAAATGAACATTGTTTTTATCCAGGAGTACCGTGATGCCTTGCCGTTACAAGAGGTCATTCCTGAGATGACCGGAGACACAGACTGGTGAGTAGCCATTTATAACACTCGGCTATACTCAGAAAAAGAACACAGTAAGGGTAAAGGTACACCGTGGTGACGCCTTACCTGCTATGCAACACCTGTATGATTGAAAACTTGGCTACAATACCTGTGTTTATCTCCTCAGGTCCCTCCGCCTGCCAGGTGAAGGGAAGTACCTATGCAGACGGACCGACCTGGGCGTGGTGACGCCCTACCCGCTGCACGTGACCTACAGGAGTGCGAACTGGTCCGACAACTGGCAGCAGGATCAGGGATGGATGGCGGTGGGTCCGCTCTTCTCCATCCAGTGTGAGGACGTGGAGGGGCCGGTGGATATCCTACTGCCGCACGTGCTGTACCTGGATGAAGACAACGGTGTGTTTTTCATATCATTTGCAATTGTGTGCTCAACTCAATACCTATTATTGGCAAACATGTACACTCAAGTGCGATCACCTGAAAAAAAATCATAATCAAAAAATCAAATTACTTTCAGTCAGAAAGGAATCATACCATGTAAGGCTTCTGCAGTTGTTACCAATGTTTTTGAACTTCAAGGTTTTGTTTCAATGTATTTGTTTGCTCAGTGCTCCTATGATGATAAGAGTATACAAAGTGAAGGGTAACCACAGACGGACAGAAATTTTAAATCGGATGTGATCAAATTGGTCTCGTCGCAGGCCTGGAGCCGTGAATGGTAAAGAAACTCAGGATCTCGAGGATTGCATGTGCGCGGCAGTGCAATAAGCACAAAGCCAGCGATTTACAATGATGTATAAGACGCAAGACGAGATATTCACAAAAACATGTTATATCTATTGCGTTCGATCACCAGAGCCTGACAAAGAGCGCATGCGAGTTGTCCATGTTGCCGGGAATGAAGCGAATCTCCTTCCTGTTTCTGAAGTGACCTCAACCCACATCGTGACCAGGTTCCAAAAGGGCAGTCTGTTCGGTCCCGTGGTGGAGAAAGCCTACGAGAAGCTATTCGCGAAGAACGGGCGCTGCGTAGTGTTTGCACCTGACTGTGTGGCGCCGGAGTTTCAGATTCACGTCTACATCGCTTCTAACTCAAAAGTCGCTTTACAGGTAAGTTCTTAAAACTGATACAGTGTTGGTCTAATCAAGGCTTCGTTGTCAAAATTCCTGATTTTTTACTCATTGGTCACCAAGTACCAAGACGAAGGGCTCTTCAAGCTCTTCTTACTAACTCAGAAACATCATGACTGAGACAGACTCGACTCACTGTGAATGAGGACTAACTGCCCCACTAGAAAAAGCAGCTGTTTCTTTCCCTACCACACCGAGAGGATCTCTACTCTTTTCAATAAGTGGTGCTCTTTAACGTGCTCGAGTTCTGGCTCTCTTCAAACAAGGGGCCTCCATCTCAACGTCCCTAACCGAAGCGTATTTCCACCTGAATGAAGTGAGGAAAGTTGTGTTTCTCAAGGGCACAAGATCTGTGGAAGGTTTCGAACCCGGGACCTCTTGGTTCTGAGCCGAATACGCTGCCGTTACGCCGTACGACCCCAGAAATTACATGTATACCATAATCAGCTTAACTGGCCACATCTGTAGGTTTGGCTTGTGCTCTACATCCTTAATATCTCTCTTCTTTTGAACTATGCAGTCTTTGGAATCTGAAGAGGCTGAGAATAACTACGTCAAGTGGGACCAGGAGCAGTGCCTGCTGATGTCGGGCCACGAGTACCACCTGGACGTGTCTGTATGGAACGGGAACGGTGGCAGCCTGTTGACGAAACCTGAGGTACGGACCAATATATAAAAGCCTGATGAAGATTATTTTGAACAATCCATGACATCTAGACAAGCTGTACATGTCATTCAAACTATCCATTTATGCTGAATTCATTATGGAGTATTTTCTAGAATTAATGCGCTCAATAAGTAACCGCTGTCTTCCTCAGAGTATTACATTTTATGACACCTTGGAATCCGAAAAGATCTACAAGAAATTCAGAGTTGAAGTGGACACCAGGAAATACAAGAAGATGAGAAAGTCTAATCTGAGGTTCCAAATGCTGCTGACGAGCGCTGACGGAAAGTCTGTTTGTGAGTTCATCACAGCAAAAGGTTGGTGGGCAGACGCTGGTGCACTCGATTGATTGCACAAACGACTCCACAAATACAAACCAAGTACTTAATTATTTGTAGGGTATAACAAACGATTCACCCCTCGGGCGTTTTCAGTTTTTGGACTATTTGGTATTGAGAAATTCTGTCATCAGAAAATGCACTATGCGGCATTACATAGAACATGTCTCTAAAAATTTTCCGGTTAGCGCAATGGCGCCGGCAGATAAAGCACGTTTTACATTGTATTTTTGTCTGTGTCTTGCTTTCATTGCGCCGTGATTTGAATACTCAATGATGTTGTTTTAAGGCCAGCCGCTTGAGCTGTCGGAGTCCGACAGCAGCCAGAGTGACAGCGGGCTGTCTGAGCCAGCAGAACGTCCGTCCGAGGGACAGGACCAGGAAGTATCCACAGGTACCTGGGTGCTCATTCTTCTTTCGGCAACATTATAGAAATATCCAGTGTCTCGTACGTAACTTATTTCCATTCATTCTGCAACACTCAGACGGGCCGGAAAAATAGTACAGTGCATACCTACTTTAGGGCAGAAACCTTTGGGCTGATTGTTGTTGTCTGCACATTCCAACTGCAGCTTAGACCAATTTTACCCATTCACATGAACAGGTTTGCTAAATAGTATTCTGGTAGTCTGTTGGATGTCCTGAAGGTCAGCATGAGTTCAAAATCTACGTACATTCCTTCCAGGCTTTATATTAATCATGTGTTATCAAATAAGTAGGTGGACCGGTCCAAAGTGGTCACCAGAGAACTACGTTGTCGCCTAAAGAGACCAAAAAGACGTCGGGCCGCTCCGGAGCAGGCGGTCAAGGTGGAAAGAAGAAAGGTGAGAAAACTTTGCCTCTTACGATCTGGGATCGTCTTTTCTTGCTGAACAGCTGATGTCAAGTGCTGATCTTGAATTATCCTGGCTTCTTTTAATCTTCTGCATTAGGATATTTTTGTGTGATCTCTAGAACAGCTAGATAAGAACAGATGTCACCATGTCATACTGTGCAGTATTTCTGAATCGATTGATTGTATGTGTAATTTCCTCCTTGATTTATCACATTCCTTCGATTAACGAATCATATCAAACAATAGTGCAAATTGTAAGAACTAATGGACGTCCAGTTCAACTGTGAAAAAATTGTCAATTGTAGACCCGTTGTCCCCAATAAAACTGTATTTCATCTGAAGGTGCGGTCCTGTTGGTTAGTGACGAGTACTGCACATGGAAGGGCGGAATCTCCACCATCAACCTAGATGCCGCGCGCAAGCTCGCCGCCGCCGGCGCCCAGGTCTACGTTACCGTGTTGGGGGCAAGTGAACAGGATGAGAGGGATGCAGAACGAGACGGAGTGACACTCCTCAAACCTCGGGTCAGTCCAGGACACAACGCGAGGCCAACACTGGAGTGGCTGACAGAGTACCACATCGTTCACTTTCCGCAACTTCCACCAAATATCAGCTACATTGTGGGCCATGTTGACGTCACCAGCAGAGCAGCGAGGAAGATCAAAGAAGAGCGATTTCCACACGCCAAACTCGCCATGTTCGGTCACGTGGCGCCAGAGGAGACAGAGCACTACAAGAGTGACGAGAAGGCCCTGGGTGTGGGGAGGAAGGAAGCCAGCATCCAGGACGACCTTGGCAAGGCTGATGTCGTCTTCTCGGTAGGAGCGCGCATTCACCGCCACAACGACAGGTTCCTCCGTCGGCGTCACGTGGATCACCACATCTTCCTACCTGAGCCTTCAAGGGTGTTCGTTGATGCTAAAGTGAGTTTTGACGAAGAAGGTGGCGTCCTAAAGCCAGAGAGAGTGATCCTGTCCATCGGCAGGGTGCGGAATGTGGAGAGGCTGAAAGGGCACGACCTGGCGGCTGGAGGCGTAGACAAGGCGGCACTGCGGCTTGACCATCTGTACACACTGAGGCTGAGAGTCCGCGGCATCGATGAGAACGACTTCAAGGAGAGCAAGGGAATCCTGGATGAGAAGCTGAGATCCGGACGGGTCAAGCCCACCCTTCTCCCGTACGGCACTCAGGAGGAGATCCGCCGAGACATGGAGAACTGTCACCTGGTCCTGATGCCGTCCCGGGCCGAACCGTTCGGACTGGTCGGTCTGGAGGCCATCGCGGCAGGAGTTCCCGTCCTCATCTCGAAGCAGTCGGGCCTTGCAGAGCTGATAGAGGAGCTATCAGACAGGCTGGGGCAGCCCAAGTTCCGCCACTGTATCGTCAAGATGAAGGGAAACGATGCAACCACTGATGAAGAGAAGTGGGCGGAAAGAATCGAGGATGTCCTCAAGAACGCCAGGTCAGAGTTCGCGGAAGCACGCGCCTTTAGGGAGAAACTGCTGGCCTCCAAGTACTGGGAAGAGTCTCACCAGAAGTTCATACAGGCCTGTGGCATCACTGGTAAGAAACTCTAACTTCGAATTCTTCCAAAGCCAAATTCTGTGAATTTATGGACTTTCAATGTTTCCATTGATGGTAGAATGGTGATCGATGATTTTAACAGCAGCTGAGCAATATACGATGATCCATTATTTTGTATAAAATTCTTCTTATGGTTTTGACAACTTCTACTTCACAGACGCCGCCGGTGCGCAGGCGCAGAGTGGAGGTGCCGAAGCCGTTGCCTCGGACTGACGATCCAGCTAGCGACAACAGAGACCGCTGACGTCATGGAATTGTAAATACACGACTTGCCTCCCATTTCCTGAGACGATGTTAGTAACTAGAGTAATGGGGAATAAATTACCAGACTCTACAGATGTATTTTTTTTATATTCCAACATCTAATCACAAGACGTGGTGACGACACACTCAATTTTTTTATTCAACTTATAGATTTAATCATGCTGTTACCAAATCCCATTAGTTCATTTAGAGCAATGGACAGTAAACAATGCAATTATAATGGGCATAGCATTTTTAATTTTTAATTTTTTAATTTCAGATTTTGTTGTGGACATCTAATTTGCATGGATATTATTTGTGTATTACGTGTGTTTTCTCAATGATATTTGCATGCTTAAAAATAAGACTTTTTTTGTCGATGATCTAACGTTTTGTAATTGAAAACCTTTCAACCTTTCATTTGCTGATTCCGAAGATACTTCCTCGGTCTATCAGCTTAAGCAAAAGAAAGTAGAAATCAGATCTCTAAAGTCTAGATCATGTATCAGTTGTAACATGTAGGAACCTAACACCAACATGCTAACAACTCACCATATTCATCGATCACAGTCAATGGATATGTTACATGATCCTATACTTTCCAAGTAGAGGTTTGGGTTTTGGCTTTGGAGTGTTTTTAGGTAGCCTTATCTCGTCGTCTCGTCGGGATTTCTTTTTTGCACCGAACGCACTGAATTTTTACGCATCTGCTTGGAGAGTAATGATCCTGTACAGATAGCAAATCGACCAAGTGACACACAAATGTTTTATGCATATTTTAGCCATTGGTAAAGTCCAAAGAATTAACACTTCATCAAATGTTTATACCTTTTCAACATTCAGTTTTTACCTGTTTACTATTTGGTTTGTTTTCTGTGCATGGTGTATCCATTCTTAACCATTTATCAACTCTAACTCATCTACCAATTCTAACTAACGCCCATGGAGTTCTAGAATACTACATGCAATCCAATGCATCATCTCTTGTATAAATGTTTGTGCTGCTGCCAGTACATATACATCAGATTAAACGTCAATCTGTACCCGATCGCTGTTTGTTTTGTTTGCATTCCTTAGTTACGGCTGATACATATTTTATGGTGTAAGAGTCTGAGACTATTGGATATTTTACTAGCTAGAAACGATAAGCAGAAAAATAAGATTGCCGTAGAAGTGAGTAATTCATGTTGCACTTTCAAAAAGTTAAATGAACCACGATAGTGTATATAACTAAAAGAGAATTTGGTGTAATTAAAACTGCCAACCTGATCGCAGTGAGAGACTAAAACATTGGGTAGGTCAGACAGACGGAAGAGTTCGCCGCTAAAACCGTGAATATCTGCATATCTCACACCCAGTTGGCAACAGTTACATCCCTTGTTAGATACCAGACGGAGTTTATGTCAGCTGTATCACAGTATTGCACATAGAGGCCCAGAAAGCGGCATTTCACCGTTACCATGACTAACATACACTGAGTGAATCGTGAACCGCCAGCTGCAATTTTTTTAACTCGGAAAGAAGCGATGATATCGGCCAGCTATCCTGTCTAAGCATCAACCATTGTTTTAGACCATAACTTACGGAATTTCACAGAAACGCCGGCCAGTGATGACACAGGAAGGTTTGGTTGTTATAACTCCGATAGATGAACATTCTGTGATATCTAGTGTCTCGCCTGTGTTACAGGAAGGAATATGACCACCCACCTTTGTCTTGCTTTGAAAAAAAAAGAACTCCACGGTTTAGTGCTCTTCTGGACTCTAACAAAACTACTCGGCGTGCACGCTGTAAAAGTGTATAAACAGCTTGCTTCAACCACAGAACTCGCACAACAGTTACGTACGGGGCCTTGCTACCATGGCTGAAGGTATCACGCCAGAGTTCCTGGCGGTGAAGACAGACTGGGTACGGCCTGTTGCTGTTAGCGTGGATTTGTGAGTCTTCCGCACCCAGTCTGCTATAATTTTGGTCTTTCTAAGATATGATATGGAAGGTATGTCAGCAATACCACAATAACGTATACAGAGACACGAAAAGTATTATTTGGCAGTTACATGCCTGTTGTTGTTAGCGTGGATTTGTGAGTCTTCCGCACCCATGGCCAGTCGGCAAGAATTGTGGTCTTTCTAAGATATGATATGGAAGGTATGTCAGCAATACTAACGGATACAGGGGCACGAAATGTAGAATTTGGCAGTTACATACGGGATCTTCAGACCCAGACCATGGCTAAGATATAAGACCAAAGTTTTCGGTAGGCATCTACAGCCTGTTGCTGTCTGTTTGATTTTTGGCGTATTCCGCACAAAGTCCGCTACAATTATAGGTCATTCTAAGGTATGATATAGTTTTTATGTCAGCAATACTACAGCAACAAATATAGAGTAAAAGAAAAGTAGAATTTAAGTTCAATATGTCTGCAGTTACATCTGGGAACTTCAAACCCCGAACAAAGTTTCCCATCGGCGTTCTACAGCCTCTTGCTGTCTGTGAGATTTTCCTTGGCTTTAAAGTGTGATTGAACTGATGAAGTTCACCTTGCTCTAGAAAGACATCTCGCGTCCAGAAATCTAGAGAACAGTCATAAGCTTTAAAGAGTGAAATGCACTTATTTACTCTGAACTTTATGACTGGAGATGCCGATGTAAGTTTAGTGCTGCAACACCAACGTGAATATTTATGTCCTTCGAGTATCTACAAAGCATCACGGGAGATCAGTTTGGAGAGAGCTACCATGTTTAGGCACACATCTTTAGAAGGCTAATCATTACATGCTAACATATAAACCTTTTTGGAACATGTCAATATTTGTCACAACGTTTGTCACAGATTTCCATAAAAGTACAAACTTACAAACACGAAGAATGTTTTTGGTTCACTATCATAATTATTGTAAAGCCCGGTATGAAGTAAATATTAGCCGACTTAACTGCCATTAACCATTATTGGTAAATCCAACTCTTCATGCAGTGTTCATGGTGCAATAGTCGCTTCAAAATGTGGAAATAGTCCCTTCACCATTTACTCCGCGTAGCCAATCCCGACAGAAAGCACCGAGAGAAGCATCTGGCTCCTCTGAGAGGATCCAAACCGTTACAGAGTTCTATGTTACTAGGTATAGATATATCTATATAAATATATAATATAGCGACTGAGCTGCTTTGGTATAGAATCCCTTCGGTTCAGTTTGTGAGGTTTTTCTAACTGTTTGCGTTCCAGGCTGAACATATCTGACGTGTATTGCCGCTTGTAGAGGTAGACTATATTCTGTAAAGTCATCACGTTTGGGAAAAATGTGATGACCCCTTCCCCCCTCTCATGGAAGCAGGGATGGAATCGCCCTGGCACATGTACCAAAACTTTGGAAATAAACTTCCGTCAACAACTCCACATTAACCGTGTTTGAGTTGTATGTGTATGTAGAATGATTGTGTGTATACGCGTTTACGAAATAAGTCAGTAAAAAGGATTGAAGAAAATGCATGTACGATAAAGCATGTCACCGACATTAAATGATCTTCTTTTTTCGGTAATGTATGTATGTCAAAAACATTCTCCATTCCAGCCAACCCCAGAGCTTTAGTGTTCCACTGCCGTCACATTTCAAACACACACACATACAGAAACACAAACACCACACATACACACGCGCATACATATACAGAAACACAAACACCACACATACACACGCACATACTTTACATACTCACACATTCCAGCATAAACGGTTCGTCCCTGTCCTTGAACGCTTTGTTCATACCTCACCTTTAGGGACGTTTCAAAAACTCTAGAGGGGCATGACGGTATCCATATAATTATTAATCAAAGTATGGTCTCTTCACAAAATTAGGTATTAGACTACTAGTACTACTACTGGACTCAAGTCCCACCAGTAGAACTCCAGAGAGAACTGTTTTTAAACAGACGTGTTTTGCGGCAGGTAACCGAACCAACAAAACGCCACTGTAGCAGGTTGACCCCGAGGTCACCTCCAGGTGTGTCGTTACGTCAACAAAGGTGGCGCGACAGGTGTTTACCGTTAGCGCAGAAAAGGGCGAACCAAGTGCGCCGTGTAGAAGGGTGTTTTTCTGTGGAGCAGGCTTCAAACAGTTGCGACTAAAACAACGCCAGTTTAGGATTGGCATAAAAGAGTTGTGAAGACAGTATATTACATTGCGGTGTATAATAGGGTGTCTTTTACACTTTGATACAAACCTGTACCCCCTTTACTTCAATGAGCCCGTCCGTCCGCCACTTCCTTGTCTAGGTTTCGCCTCGGAGCGACCCAAAAAGGGGGCGATATTCTAAAGATTCTGGGGAAATAGGACACTAGGAAGACAAGGTAAGGTACAGTTCAAGTCTTAAAGCCTGTTTACCTGTGTGCCAGGCACATAAGCAACAAAATAGTGCGGAAGTGATGGGGACAAACTGAATGTTTACCAAAGTGTAACGTTGTACAAACTGCTTACCAGACCTTGAATGTAACGTGGGACTCTCTTGATAGATCTGTCTTGTGGATTGAAGACGTCTCTTACGAACGGGAATTGATCGTGAGGAAGCAAAAAAGCAGCAACTTCGACTCTTCTACATGTATGACCATGTATCAGTCAGTAGCCAAGTAAGTAACGCCGGTGTTCACGTTAAGTAGTAATACGTACATATGTATATGGTACTAGTAAAAAAAAACCTTTCCTGCTTCTCAGCTCGTGCCTAATTAAAACTAAATAATCGTGTACACCACTTAGTTCTGCCATAGGATGTGATGTAGAAAATTACACTATTCCTGTGAACTTTTTTTACAGTATAATCCCGCAGCACGGGATGTCGTCTGTCCTTCTCTTAATATCGGGAGTTTGACTTACCGGTTCTGACGTCACAACGTAGCTGACAGAATGGAGACAGGTGAGCCGGTCACTTTCACTTCAAGTTAACTTTCTCGATCACCTGCTTTTAACCTTCGGTGCAGATAGTCTTGGAGGGATGTTCCCAAACTTGATTGTTTATCATTTTGCATGGTATTGCGTCTGGAACAATTAACATATCATATCATAAACGTTTAGTCTACATGAGTATTCTACATTATCCTGTTTATTCTTAATTGTTATCAAGATCGGACTTTTTTATTTTTATTTTCATTCAAAATCATGTCTTTATTCTTGTTTGGTGAGCTTATTTGAAGATACTTTCTCAAATGGTATGCGAAAAAATGCACGGTTTGGGAATATACTTTGATTAAACATATTTGACATTGCGAACAGGTTGAAGATTGTTTAGCCTACTTTCTAACATGGTATGTGAAAAAAATCACATTTTGGAATATACTTTAATTAAACATATTGACATTGCGAACCGTTGTTTCCTACCAGGTCCGCGTGTTGCCATCCTGCACGCAGCAGATGATGAGGAGTTCGTCAGGAGGTTGGTGGAGGGGCTGGGGGGTCTGGGACTGGAGCAATATAATCTACCCCAGACAGCCATATTCTGTCAGCAGGTCACAGGTGCTCCTGGTGCCGTCAGCCGCGCACAGCTCACGTCCACACTGACCCTCGGCAGCGTGAAACTTGTCGTGCCCGTGATCAGCAGACACCTGCTTGCTGACCAGTCCTCGCTCACGGTCGGACTGGAAACTGCCGTCAGGAACAACAAGCCTCGATATGTCATTTGGCTGGACCGGAACGAGGATGACTTCCGTGAGTTCGGTACGTTAGTCAGCCGGCAGTACCCAACCCTGGAGGCGCCGGCCAGGCGGGTCCAACGGGACAGGGTTGAGGAGACGATGCCCGACAGTCTTGTCGTCAGTGGGATGGGAGGTATCGCCTATGATGTACGTGACACGCTCTGCAGACAAACAGGTGAGGATGGACATAGTATGGCTGTTACATAACGCAAATATAGGGGTCTTTTTATAAATGAAAGTTAAGGCTGCTCTCACCTGCCCATACAATGTAAGAACAATTTTACTTGTATCGTGTCTAGTCTAGTAATCAGCACCGAGAATAAAACTTTCACTGTCAATTTCACTGCATAGTAAACCCAGAGTTAGCTCAGTGGAGTTTTGGGTACCGCATCTGATGTGCGTGACGCAAACTGCACACAAAAGAAAAGAAACAATTCGAAATATCTAATGTAGAAAAAAAAAACAGGTAGTGAAAAATACCAAGGCCGGTGCTTTTAGAACGGGATTCCTAGCGTCTTGTTTTCATATTAAGTATTACTAGAAGAATCAAAAAGAAGATACGGGAATTGAGAACTTTTACGATGGACATTTAATTACCTGACCAGGACGTTACACGGAGTGCGAACTAGTTAATTGAAGAGGTGACCTCTGGTGCAGAAAATTTTAAACGTACGTCAGGAATATGAAATGTATGCCGCAGCACTTAAAGTGATTCGATGTCTCTACATAGAGCGAGTTAAGCTAAAATGACGCATGCCGTTTGTCTGTTCCTCTCCACAGGTGAACTGAGGTTGCCGTGCCGGGAGGCCTTGGGCAACACTCGTGCGTTCCTGTCTGACAACATGAACCTCCCAACTGTTCTCACACGGCTGGAACAGGAGAACCAGCTGAGTCCGGCTGACGTCCGGTCTGTCCAGGTAAGTTACATGGTGGAACCGGCACTTCTCAACCTCCATAACAACATAACAACGTAACATGTACTTTACATTAGTATTGTGTTTAATATCTTTTCCGTAAACCAACTTTTGAACTAAATTTACCATACAAATATACAGACAGCTCCAAGCTTCTCTGTATTTATAAACTCTAATTACTTCACATCAATAATGCTTTTCTACGCCCGACTCTCGGTCTACTCTGTATTATGGAAATGTAATTGAAAATGAGAGTAGATGCACTTAGAGTATAGGCCAGACTTTGTACCCTGTGCAAATGTTGGGCAGTGAAATTATCTGTATTTACCATATTGCGCTGCAGCCGCACGGACTTCTGGGAACAAAACTCGCAAAAATGCCATTTGACGCTACCCGACACACCCTACTTGAAACGGCCTTTAGTCAATATCTACCACATGTATTACCTAATTAAGCTCGAGTTCTTCATTCACTCTTTTTAAAACCGGCCACTAGTAAATACAATGGACACGAAAACATGAAGAACAAAAATATGTACTAACAGTTATATTCCCCCCAGGCGATGCCGACACCAGTAAGCCGGGCCCGCCGGGTGGTAGAGATGCTGGATGGCAGGAGTCGGCAGGAGCTGTACGACTGGTTAGTGCTGGTCCTGCGGGAGGAAGGACAGGATTTCCTGGTGGAGGAGATGGAGGAACGGGAGCGGGAATTGGAGCGGGACTACGGCATCGGGAAACAGCAGGCAGCACAACCTGGTCAACAAACGGCACAGACGGAACATTTCACACAGGAAAGTCAAGGTAGATACAACTATATGACTTGTCATTCTCTAAACATTCAAAGCTAAAAAAATTAGCATGTAATTTTCTTGTTTCAGTCTTGGCGTGAATATTCATCAACCCACAATCTCGTACCCGCAAGTCACATTAGTACATTGTAGGCTGTTTTATAAGAATGAGTTAAAGCAATTTAATGAATGAGAAAATTTCTCTCTTTGCTAATTAAAGAGTTTTCCGCGTGCATTTGTATCATATTACACATTGCTTTCACAGAGTAGAGTAGAAATGTATGTCTAAAACAGGTCAAAACGAAGCAACCATTTCTACAGTAGTAACCGTGAAGAAGCATCTACGTCATCCCGGAGCGCATGCGGACGACGCCACAACACCTTTGGAAGTCAAGGGCGTGTTTCTGGGACAGACGGAGGCAGGGAAGACCAGTCTGCTCAACTGTATGATGAAGGGTCAAGGTCACGTGGAGACTGAAACTGACAGAACCATCGGTGTTGACGTCATCAGTTTCCATGACAACAAGAATAACGTCAAGTACGCGATGTACGACTTCGGAGGTCACCAGATCTACCACTACACGCACCGGTTCTTCCTGACACGTCAGGCCCTGCACATCCTCAATGTAGACCTGCCAGCATACAAGTCAGAAGAGTTCCAGGAACGAGTGGGAACGTGGCTAACATCCGTGACTTCCCACGTCTTCAACCCGGCTATCCTTGTTGTAGGAACCAAAGTTGACATGTTTCCGCCAGACAAGGCCGAGGAGATGATAGCAGCAGCTTGTTCCTCCATCCAGAGAGACATCCAGGGCGCTGAGAGTAAAATACAAGCCAAGCTGAAAGAAGAGATCCAACTCTGTCAGAACGCGTTGGATGTAGTAGGCAGCGGATCAGACATGCCCGAGCCATTCTACGGTCTCACAAGGGACGACATCTTGGCCAAGAAAGAGTCACTGGAGAAGTTACTGGACGGACGACCCAAAGGTCTGTTGAACGTACAGGTTATCCCGGTCAGCAGCAAGACGTTCCAGGGTATCGGAGCTCTGTGCGACAAGATGGCAGAAATGGTGAAGGACGAGCGATTGTTCCCTGCTGCCCGCCAAGAGCTGCCGACTTCCTGGACAAAACTGTCAGAAAACATCCAGGCGACAGGACGGACCCACCTTCAAGTCAGGGATTGTCAGGACGTCGGAGCAGCTGCAGGGATGAAGGAGTCAGACGTCCTGAACGCGCTCAGCTATCTGCACGTGACCGGACAGATCCTGTTCTACAACCACATCAGGGGGATGGAAGATATGGTCTTCCCGCACCCAACCATCATCCTCACACTCTTCAAGCAGATTTTCAGGCATGACCTACCAGGATATCTGGACAGCATAGCTGAGTCTCTGACTGAGCATGCCAGAGCGCAGTTTGCTGAAGACAGGGCGTCCTTCTTGAAGACGGGCAGGGCCAGCGACAGTTTCATGAAGAACCTGCTTGGAGACGACATTGTCACCTTCAACAGTCTCCTTCCCCTGATGAAGCACCTTGGCCTGTGTTACTCAGGGTCGGTGATCTTTCCAACAGAGCTTCCTGCCGCCCAGCCTGACGAGGTGGCGCACTGCTGGCCAGAGGTTGTGCCATCAGGCGGAGAGGAGATCTCTCTTACTATAGAGTACAGCCAAGAGCCTCCTCTGGGTCTACCGGAAACCATGGCCTCCCGTATCCTGTCCATGGAGCAGACCACACGCCGTCTCCTCACCAAGGACACAGTTGTCGTTCATGTTGGAGAGAACTCAGAAGACGTCATGTACCGCCATTCCGCTACAAGAGAAGAAATCCTGATCCGGGGAGAGCCGGAGAAGGCGTGGCGCCGGGCTCAGACGGTAGTGAGGGAGATAGAGGCCTGTTGGGACGAGTTTCCTGCCTTGTACTCCAGTAACAGTATTGGAAGCGGGGAAAAAGCAAAGTCCCTCCCTATAGAGGCTGTGAGGCGTCACGTGCCGGGGGACTTGTTGAGAATGTCCAGGGGAAGCTGGGATGGGTCACTTCCTGTCACTAGAACACCGACAGACGTCATCGGCAAGTACTTAATTGGTGAGTACGACAGGCGTTCTTACAGAAGGTAATATATTGATGTAGGCAGACCTATCTGTACATATGAAAGTAAAACGAATGTCTCCATCTTCTAAATGTCGGTATGTCTCACTGTTTACCCCCATTACGTCAATTACATTGCATTTTATGATTCCTTTTGTTCATGTTACTTATCGATAACTGTTCTCTCCAGACAACCGGCTGTACCAGGTCAGCAGGGCTGTTGGTTGGGAGTGGACCCGGCTGGGACAGGGGCTGGGACTGAACAGGTCCGTGTTGGACAACATTCATATGGCAACATATACACAGGCGGCGTTCCAGATGCTGAAGGCCTGGCGCACCAAGACCCCCCACGGACCGCTCCGCTACCTGCCGCAGCTGGAGGAAACACTGCAGAACATCGGTGAACCGGACCTGGCTAAAGACGTACAGGGGGTGTACAAGGTGTGTTTATTATAAACTTCGATTTAGATCATATCAGAAGTTGAAGCAACAAACCCAATTATGGATGATTTAATTTTCAACTAATTATTATAGATATTGTATAGTAATACTCTACTACAACAGATGATCTCTTAACGTTTCAATCAGGGCAACTTTCTTGTTTTGGCCATGTAAGAACAAATGTAATATGGCAAGAAAAGAATTCTTGTTCATTTTAACCCTGTTGTTTTTCCATGGAAGTTATCCAAACGATGGAAAGTGTATCAAACACAATTCATTTGTCATGCGCTGTTTACGTAAAACGGTAAAATGTAGAATCGGTTTTATCCAGGAATACCGTGATGCCTTGCCGTTACAAGAGGTCAGCCCTGAGATGACCGGAGACACAGACTGGTGAGTAGCCATCTATACATAACAATCCCTTGTACATATCCAAGCAACAAGAAACTTTAAGATAGTAAAGGCAAAAGTACCCGCCATGTCACACTTGTATGATTGAACACCTGGCTACAATACCTGTGTTTATCTCCTCAGGTCCCTCCGCCTGCCAGGTGAAGGGAAGTACCTGTGCAGACGGACCGACCTGGGCGTGGTGACGCCCTACCCGCTGCACGTGACCTACAGGAGTGCGAACTGGTCCGACAACTGGCAGCATAATCAGGGATGGATGGCGGTGGGTCCGCTCTTCTCTATCCACTGTGAGGACGTGGAGGGGCCGGTGGACATCCTACTGCCGCACGTGCTGCACCTGGATGGAGGCACAGGTACGCCTGCAATAATTGGTATTTTTAATGATAGGTTTAGTCAACAGGTGTTTATTTTATAAGTGTTTGTATTTCCTTGAGAGCTAGCAATAACGTTAGAATTAAACTGAAGATTTTATTTTCAAAAGAGATTAAAATGTACAGAACATAATATTATGACCAACATATTTTATCAGTATTGAATCCAGATGACATCGCGATCGTGCACGTTGCGGGAGAGACGGAAGAACTCCTGACGGTGTCTGACATCAGCCCGACCCACCTCACCACCAGATTCCGGAAGGGAAGCAAGTTCGGTCCTGTGGTGAGAAGTTACCTCGGGATGGACCTGCGCAGGAACGGCCTGTGTGTGGTGTTCGCGCCGCCAAACTTTCCCTCGGTCTTCCAGCTTCACGTCTACATCATCTCCAATGTCGTGCTTATGGTAGAGGTAAGGTGTCTCTTGGCACAATTGGTTCTCGTGAGAATTAGTTTTTAAAAATATATGAACAACGTATGGTGAAATGTATAAGTAGTGTGGAAAAACATCGTATGACAGTGTCATGAGCATGATGAAGTACAAAATATTGCTGCTTTTGGGGGTACCTCTTGATCTGGTCTATAGATCAACATGAAAGAAGTGGATACCCCAAAAAATATGTCGAAGCGAAGTAACCAAGGCATAAGTCTTAAAACAGGATAGCAGAAATCCTATTCAAACTGCAAATAATTTAGATGTTGTCTATAAACGCGAAAATGATGATCTTGATATTCTTCCTTGTAAAATGCATGGTTCCAGTACCTGCAGACGTTGGAAGGGAAGGTCGGCTACTCCAGCTGGGATCCTGAACAGTGTGTGCTGAAGCTGGGGGAGGAGTATCGTCTGGAGGTGACAGCCAGAAACGGAGCAGGCGTCGACGTGGAGACACGGCCTGAAGAGGTTCAGAGTTATCTATATCATCGTTTATAATGCTTCTAATGCATCACCACGTATAGCAGTGATAAGGTTCTGAGCCAGTTGTACATTATATTTTTCAATCAGATACAACTATATAATATGCTAGAAAAAGGTAAAAAGTATTTGAGGAATGTTGTGTTGTAGTAGTATAGTAGAGGTAAAAATGTGAAAAACAAACATTCGCAAAGACCTGCAAACTTTACATAAATACGTGAACATCTATTACCATTGTAGGGTCTGGAGTTTGACGACACGTTTGAGACAGGGCAGTACTACAAGAAGTTCCGTGTGGAGGTGGACGCCAGGAAGTACAGCAGAGCGCAGAGATCCAAGCTTCGGTTCGACCTGCACCTCAAGAACGCTGACCAGACTGTCTGCAGATTTACCCCAACCAAAGGTATATCATATTTAAAATGTGCCGCCACTACTTAATTACAGCAAGCAATAAGATTAGAGATTGGCTTTGGCGTATCCTTAACAGTTAAAGCGTCCGAACAACTACGGAATGATTTTTACCAAATCCAATCCAGCTATTTGTTCGGAGGCTACAATTTGCTTAAGACGTATTGGAATAGCTTGGCTGGTCTATTTTGCAAACCACCTTCAATAATGTTTAGTTTCAGTGTCTTTGTTTCGTCCGAATCGTGAACCACTTTTCCACCACTACGCCCTTATTCAATGTAAGTCTTAGCAAATATTCAGCACCCATTATTGGATCAGTTACTAGAAATATATAAACCACTGTGTCCATACCGCAGGTACCCAAGCTCTGGAAGGCGCAGCCGCGGCAGATGACAGCGACAGCGGGGTTTCGGAGACAGACGCTGATGCAGACACACATGCGCAGAAATCAGGTAAGGAAGCACTCAATATACACATTTGTGACAGTGATAATAAACACGTTTTCTGCTTCTTGACAACAAAACAATCCCAAGAATTAGTATAATATTCTTCAATCAGTGTTTTTTAAAGGTAGAGTCGTACACGTACAGTCAACATCGGAAATTTGGAGGTACGTGTTTCTACCTTTCAAAAACAGTCACTGATTGAAGACTATTCTACTAATTGTTAATTTTACGTGACTGATGAACCTCTTCAACGAATCCCAAGAATGCAGGTAAAGTTAGGGTCATTGCTACATGTTTACAGGCGATCCCGTTAATACAGGGAAGCATGCACCACGCAGGGTCCAAAGAGCTGCAGGATTACCCGTCACCATAGAGACGGTGGGACCAACAACAGGTAAGGCTCGAGCAGCTGATCCAGTTCAAAGTTACTTCTGGTCAGAGTTGTTATAGATTTTGCAAGCGTATCTGGTTTATCAAATGTCAACATTCTACTGTTTGCCAAGTTTAGTGCTTTTTGCCTATCCAGCTCTAATCACCTATCGAATTAACATTGGTTGATAGAGCATGGGGAAGTAACCACTTTACGTTTCCAATGTCAACTAAATTCTATTACAGGCAGATCTTCAGTCCTGTTGGTTATTGACGAATACTGCACATCGAAGGGCGGAATCTCTACCATCAACCTGGATGCCGCGCGCAAGCTCGCCGCCGCCGGCGCCCAGGTCTACGTTACCGTGTTGGGGGCAAGTGAACAGGATGAGAGGGATGCAAAACGAGACGGAGTGACACTCCTCAAACCTCGCCTTGATGCCGACAGCAGCGCCAAGCCGTCCCTAGAGTGGCTGACTGTGTACCACAAACACCACTTCCCACACATTCCATCAGACATCTGCTGCATCGTGGGCCATGTTGACGTCACCAGCAGAGCAGCGAGGAAGATCAAAGAAGAGCGATTTCCACGCGCCAAGCTCGCCATGTTCGGTCACGTGGCGCCAGAGGAGACAGAGCACTACAAGAGTGACGAGAAGGCCCTGGGTGTGGGGAGGAAGGAAGCCAGCATCCAGGACGACCTCGGCAAGGCTGATGTCGTCTTCTCGGTAGGAGCGCGAATTCAGCGCCACTACGACAGGTTCCTCCGTCAGTGTCACGTGGATCACCACATCTTCCTACCCGAGCCTTCCGAGGTTTTCAGTCGCGCAGCAGTGAGCTTTGGTGAAGAAGATGGCGTCCAAAAGCCAGAGAGAGTGATTCTGTCCATCGGCAGGGTGCGGAATGTGGAGAGGCTGAAAGGGCACGACCTGGCGGCTGGAGGCGTAGACAAGGCGGCGCTGCGGCTTGACCATCTGTACACACTGAAGTTGAGAGTCCGCGGCATCGATGAGAACGACTTCAAGGAGAGCAAGAGAATCCTGGATGAGAAGCTGAGATCCGGAAGGGTCAAACCCACCCTTCTCCCGTACGGCACTCAGGAGGAGACCCGCCGAGACATGGAGAATTGTCACCTGGTCCTGATGCCGTCCCGGGCCGAACCGTTCGGACTGGTTGGCCTGGAGGCCATCGCGGCAGGAGTTCCCGTCCTCATCTCGGAGCACTCGGGACTTGCAGAGCTGATAGAGGAGCTATCAGGCAGGCTGCGGCAGCCCAAGTTCCGCCACTGTATCGTCAAGATGAAGGGAGACACCGCGACCGACGCTGATGCAGACAAGTGGGCAGAAAAAATCGAGGATGTCATCAAGAACGCCAGGTCAGAGTTCGAGGAAGCTCGCGCCTTCAGGGAGAAACTGCTGGCCTCCAAGTACTGGGAAGAGTCTCACCAGAAGTTCCTACAGGCCTGCGGCATCACTGGTAAGGAACCATCATCATATCGGACTCATTGTACATGTTCAAGATGGGCGTGCTTTGTAGCATTTTTCACCTTCCTGTTAAGCATCATACATATGGTACCTTTGCATAGTTCATTTAGCTCCTAGAACAGTTATAGGATGTTGTGATATTTCTCCGAGATTAATGTACTATTACCAGAAACACACCCATAATTGATACTAGTAATCGTCTCAATTTCCCTCACGTTTCATATTGAGAAATACATACAAATCCCTGCACTAGAGAGGCACGGTAAAAGTATAAAAGGAGGAGTGGTCCGATCTCTGTCATTCTTGATAAAGACTGAATAAAAAGTCGACACCGGTTGAATTCCGTCTCAACGTTGTCTCTTCCCATCGCTACGAATGATAAGTACAAATCTTATGTTTTTCCCCAGCTCACACCCCCAGAGCAACCATGCCCGCCAGTAAACCATCGAAGAAACAGGACCAGGGGCCCTTGGCTGAGACAGCAGAGGAAGACGAGTCCATCAGTCGACTGAAACAGCCCAGTCTGACACAAACCGTGACCCCAACAGCCCCCATGCTGGCCGGTAAACAAATGGAAACATCCAGGAAGCCACAGGCAGACAACACGAAGCATTCAGCTGTACAGGCAGAGGAGAAAGCTACTGACATGACGGATGACGACGAGTCCAGCAAAGTAGAAAAGCGCCCCCTGTTGGCTCAATCAGGAAGAGCGCCTGCGGCCAAGAGCCCGACTCATGATCAGCTGCTGCAACAGGAAGAACTAGAACTGGAGGACCTGGCTGCAGTTACAGAGGAAACCCGTCTGTCGCCAGCCGGGGAGGAGCAGGGGGAAACAGGAGAAGCTCAGACTGCCGCAGACACGGCCTGCTGCCCTCGCTGCCCGCATTGTACATGCTCTGTGCTGTAGGTACTAGTACTCATGCAGTAGTACTACACACCGTAGTGAAACTGTGCTGTAGGTAGTGTAGCGGTACAAAACCCATCATCACCATTCCCTGACCACTGCTTAATGCTGGCATCAAGCGTGACGCGACAGCAAAAGTCTCATGTCTTCATGAACTGCCTTAGGCTTGATTAAGCTTTCTTTTTGTATAACTAGCAGAATGATCTAGTTCATGGGATCTTGTTAAGTCAATGGTCCTTTTTTGAAATGTTTCACCAATGGGGTAAAAGGCTTTCATGAATCTCGTTGCCTAAAATATTTTTTATAAGATGAAAACAGTATGAAATTGACGTAATTTAGACGTCACAAACGAGGTTAAGACTTTGAGTTAGGCAACTCCATCAATTGGTACAGTGACTTTTTTTAAATTGAACTGTATATAAAAATATTCTAATCAAGGTTATTAAGAGAACGACTAATACTGCTCCAGATTTTAAACATGTCCAATGTCCAGGTATGATCATGCAGGAAATGAAGTGTTGATCTGAGCATATTTTGTTTACAAGTCATACATTTTAAGACGACATGATGAGCAAACCAATGAATTTCATATCAATTGCTGACAGCAATATAGTACAATTCAGATATGTTTTATAAAACGTACCTAAAGCCAGGTATGTTATTATAATAATAATATTACAATTTATCAACAGCAAGGCATTTGTTACCATGGCATCTAATGCCGTAGAGCACCAATCCCATTACTGTAAGAATCTGTTTCAAAATGTCCTAACTCAGTGGACTGACATAACAACATACACCAAAAGTTTCTATTTCGACACCTAATTACTGCAGCAGCATTACATCTTGCATAGTTATGACACCTTTCTTTGTATGTTTATTTTTCTTGCTAGTTTGCATAGTATTGATTATACATGCAAAGGGAGGACAATGTCATTGCTGAATGCGTCTTTCAGGTCTTGGCGTGGTTCGTATTTTGACTTCAATTATCGATTAAGAAATGTATGACAATATCTCATAAAATGTAACAGAAATCAACTACTAGTACCTTTAGAAATATGCTTTGTAGTGAGTTGTACTGTCACATGTCATTCAGCTATTCAGAATAAATGCCTTGCTGCACAATCTTGATGGCTTTTAGCCTTGTCTGTACAAATGTACATGTACCTCTGTATACAGGTAAATTTGCCTTCATTTGCGGAACATGTCTGAACCAATTTATCGTCAACGTAAGAAGACAACTTGGAGAGGCGCGACGCTCCCTGGAGCATGCGGTTCTGAGTGAGTGAGTGAGTGAGTGAGTGTGAGTGAGTGAGTGAGTGAGTGAGTGGGTAAATAGCATGTTATCTGGTCAGACAGACTGACGAGTCTGTCGCTAAAAAACGAAATTTTCTTCATTTTCTGCCCCCATTCCGTAACAGTTACATCTCTTGTTGGATACCAGGTGGACTTTCTGTCAGCTCTATCACAATATTGTTCATATAAGCTCGCACTGCGGCATTTTACCACGACTACCATTATGCTTTTTATCATAGGAATGCGTCTTGAATGTCGTAACTACAACAACTAAGTTGCTTGACTTGAACGCGGCAAATCAAAACAAAACTCCTTAGCTAACACAGAGAATATGTTTTCATACACAAGTACATAAATACATTCTGATATATGCAGAGTTTTGTGACATCAATCGCAGTAACGTTATAATCTAACAGCAGTTAACTTACATGTAACGTTACGAGAAGGGATATGATGATCATTACTTACAGTTTGCCTCGCTTGGACATCACGGGTGATCAACTGAGCCTGAGTCCTGAACACGTAACACTTTGAGGTTGACTAATATCCAAGCAGCTCTCTTCGGGGTACCCTTACACTGCATACCGCCTGGTCAACATAGTTTCTTGTCCCCGAAGATATCTGCTTGAAGATCAGACTGCAATCATCAGCATACAATGTAGCTACATGTAACGTTACATCCGGGCTCTCCGGACTTGGCTGAAGATCTCGGACCGAAGTTTCTGGTAAGAAACTACCAGACGTGCCATAGCCTGTTGCTATAAGGGCAACTTTCTACGTATTTCGCGCCCAGTCGGCAAAAATTAAGTGCATTTTCTGATACCAGTACTGGTCTATTTCATCGACATCAAAGTACTGCCCATATAGAGGCACAGACTTGGCTGAAGATCTCGGACCGAAGTTTTCAAGACTGGTAACAAACGCAGACGTCCTATAGCCTGTTGCTGTCCGGGCAACTTTCTGCGTCTTTCGTGCCCAGTTAGTAAAAATTCATAACCTTTTTAGATACCAGACCGGGTCTATTTCATCATCATTACTGCATTTCCCATAGAGGCACATAAATGATTATTTTGTTTCTTTGAGCCTTTTAAATCAGCCTGCTGACCGCTTTCCATTGAAGTTTATAATATATAAGAGGGAATACGTCGGCGTCAGACAAAATATCCTGGTTACGGTAAAGAAGACTGCATTTTCTTCCAGTTTCAGGCAAACTTGTCACCATAAGCCTTTGAAAACACCTACTCTGTACTCCAGACTTACGAGGAAGATAGGCAAGTTGCATTATCCTGCTAGTAATGTTAGTTCAATCTTAATGTAATTTCAAAGACGCATGAACAGGTACAAGGAGCTTGCTTTACTGCAAACACAGGTGGAAGGCCATTCTGCATGTAGTTACCATCACACAGGTATGAAGTGCTACAACACTTTTATAAACTGCTGATAAAGTCTATACATTCAGGCTGTGACATGGAATGCATATGGAAAGGGTGAGACATCAAGACTTCAACACTGGCATGGTTCAAATTGTCAAATTACGACAAATGAAAGAACTCCAGTCTTGCTTTCTGATACATTTCTATGGAATGCATGCGGAAAGTGCGAGACATCAAGACTTCAACACTGGCATGGAATGGTCAAAATTGTGAAATTATGACAAATGAAAAAAAACTTCATTCTTGCTTTCTGATGCAGTTGCCTATGATGGCCTACCTTCAAGTTCAGCTGTATGCTTTAATTCAAAGAGCACTTATAAAAAAGTTCTCCATCTACAGTACTGATTTCCTGAGCATACATGGTCTTGTTAATGCCAAATCTCAGACCACCTGCAAACTACATGTGTATACCTAAAGAAACATCGCTTTATGTAGTTTTTATACTACACTACATCTCCCACGATGTTAACACTTAATGTTGTTCATAAGGCATTCTTTTTGCTGCATATCACACTGAATCCAACTCTGTACAAAGCATAATGAATTTTTTGCAAATTAGTATAGTAATTAAATACTCTGCTCTTTAGGCAGAAGTGCAAGTCCTTAATGATTGTGCTATCCCTACAGTTCTTTTACACAAGTGATTTTACAGCACTAAACTGTATCTAAAACTACCTCAGTTTACAATGACATTTCTCCAGCTATTACATTTACAAAGACAAGTCTACAAACTAGCAGCCCGATGATCAAATTGATCTAGCACTGTAGGTACAACACCTTTTGAGATAAAATTCTGGACAAAAAATTCTGGAGCATTCAATTTTATAATTTGATGCTTCCTATTCAGATTTTGCCAAATATCTTTGCACTTTTTCAACCCTGTATTCCCTTTGTCTATTATGATTTCAGGGAGAGGAGAAGATACAGGGGGTATGTTTGTTAATTGTTTTCTGTTGTTTGTTTAGAGTTAAAACTTTTGATCCAACACGAAGAAGTTCTCTCACCTAGAGCTTTTGACCAGTCACTCTGGTCTTCCTCAGTAGACTGACCCAGTGAGACTTGATTGTCACATGGCTTCTTTGAAGTGTGATGTCAACACTGGGTCAAAAGTTTTAACTCTAAACATACAACACAGATAAACTTTCATGATTGTTTTCGTGGTTGTCTACTGGGATTTAGGTGTGAAGAACAGCTCCGTAGTTGACATGGACATGATACAGGGGATCTGTTTATTTGTTTTTTTTTTACTGTTTTGTTTACTGAGATTTAGTAGGGAGGGACACTGGTCCTTAGATAGACATGATACAGAGCTGTTTGTGCACTGTTTTCGTTTTTTCTACTGTGATTTAGGAGTGAAGAACAGGTACTTAGTCAACATGGACATGATACAGGGGACCTGTTTACTGTTTTTGTTATTGTTATGGTATACTGCGATTTAGGTGTGAAGAACATTAGGATGTCTTTTTGTTTGTTTCTTCTGACTTGAGGAGTGAAGAACAGGGTATGTTTGTTTATTTTTTCTACTGTGATTTAGGGGAGAAGAAGAGGTCCTTAGTTAACATGGACATGATACATGGTATCTGCTTCTTCCGGTTCATGTAGGGGTTGTCGGAGTTGGAGTGGAAGTCGTAGGCCACCAGCTTGTTAACCCGGGTCAGAAGCTGCATGATCTCCAGCTGTGTCCCCTCCTGCTCCAGGACTGCACACAGGGCCTGGATGTACCAGGAGCCGCGCCCCGGGTTACGCCAACTGTAGTAACCTGGGTGGGTTAAAACAGTACCTGGTTTATACGGGTCCTAGGTAAGCACAGAGAATGGGTTAGTCTATGTACCATGACCCACTTCCCGGGTTACACCACGAGTAGTAACCTGGGTGGGGAAGGACAGAAGCTGGGTTAGTCTGTGTACCACGACCCTCCTGCTCCAGGACTGCACACAGGGCCTGGATGTACCATGACCCATGCACCACACACAGTGCCTGGATGTACCATGACCCATGCACCACACACAGTGCCTGGATGTACCATGACCCACGCCCTGGGTTACGCCAAATGTAGTCACCTGGGTGGGTAAGCAGAGAGGTTAGGTTGTACCACATCCTGTCTTATGCCATGAGTAGTAACCTGTACAAGACCCAGGACAGAGGCTGGGTTAGGATGTGCTGTGACCCATTCACCACTGCACACAGGGCCTGGATGTACCACGCCCCACGCCCCGGGTTACGCCAACTGTAGTAACCTGGGTGGGTAAACAGAAAGGTTAAGATGTACCACGCACAGCCTGGGTTACGCCAACTGTAGTAGTAACCTGGGTGGGTAAGTCTAACCCAGCTACTGTCCTTACCCACCCAGGTTACTAATAATAGTCTATGTAAACCGCACACAGGGCCTGGATGTACCATGACCCACGCCCCGGGTTACGCCAACTGTAGTAAGCTCGGTGGAGAAGGACAGGGTGAGTTAGGATGTACCACGACCCACATGCACAACGCAGCCCTTTGGCGTAACACACCAGCTTTGCAAGCATGGCGACATTACACCAAACGACTTGGACATATCTAATATTTGGACGTATTTAATGGACCTACCAGGAACAGTGCTGTAGGCCAGTAGGAAGTCAGCCTCGGCCGGAAGTGTGGCCTTGTTTCCTGCGTCCAGCTCATCCTGCACCTCCGGCAGGGCGTCCGGCATGTCCACTCCATGGTCAAACTCATTCCCTCGACACGCCTGGGCAATAAACATTACAGGTTTTTATTTTGAGTAATTCACAACCAATTAGATATACTGTGTATAAGCTGGTGTGTTTCGCCGAAGTGTGGTTATACCAGGAATACTGATACAGATATATTTTAGAGTCATGATGTACAAGAAAAATGGTAGGGTTCACTCTAGACTTAACAAAAAGAGTGGTTTGAAGATAAAAGACAATCTATTGCCAAACTAGGTAGTATGGCAGAAAAAGAAATAATTTGCTTCCCACGCTTGTCTTTCCTTGAAAAAACTCAATTTATACTATAGACCTTTCAACTAAGACCCCTATGTTGCTGTTTTTTTATACCACACAGCTTTGTATTGTATTGTATTGCTATGTATTGTAAACTTGGACTCCAGGAACATTAGCATAAACAATTTTGCATCAAAAAATGGGGATTCTAAACAAACAAACAAACACACCTGTAGGAAGAAGAGTTTGGGTTTCCCCACCAGGCCGGGACAGCGATCTCCCCGGAACGGTTTGGTGATCTCTGTGACCTCCATGCACCCATCAGTCCCATAGATAACACCCTCCTCTCCGTGACTCAGGATTGCACAGGCAAAACAGTCAACATCTCGGTGGTCCTCCCTAGCAGCTACCGAGTGGGCACAAAATGACTAATTAGATAGCTTACAACAATGTTTAGAGCTAGATGTTGAAAGGTTAGGTGTAACAGGTCGTTCGGTGTAATGTGTAATAATAACCCCCTCCTCTCCGTGACTCAGAATTGCACAGGCAAAACAGTCAACATCACGATGGTCTTCTCTAGCAGCTGTGGAATGGGCACAATGGGGTGTGATCAGGTCAGCCTTCAAGCATCTTTACAATTCTACATGTACATGTATCTACACAAATTTTTGTCCAGTTGTAGTTGAGTTTAGTTACTCTCCAGACAGCTGTTTAGGCTCTGATTTGGCCACATTTATCTGTACAATTCCAGGCCTCAAAATACTTTTTCTACACACCTACACCAGGCCAATTTTAGCCAAACTCTAAAGCTGCTGGGACTAAGCACATTGTGTGTGATCAGGACACATTTCATGGCTCAAAATTAATATTTTTAATAAGCACACTGGTGCACCTACTAGTTACACCTACAAGGCTTTTAAGGGCTACTACTGGGCTAGCTTCATCGTGGGTTCACAAGTGCAGGCCTCATATTTACCAGCACTAACAGGTGGCATTTCCAACTTAAGGGAATATTACAGTCCTTACCCAGCTGCAGCACTGAAAGTATCTTCCGACAGGGCAGGTTGTCGAACACTTTTGTCTCAAAACCAAACTTGGAGAAGATCCTGTACAGGTTGTTGGCATCCAGGTCTGTACCTCTTCTAGTGTTCATGCCTGTGTGTGGACAACAAGAGAAATTACAGTACATACAAGGCTACAGGAAAGGCAAGGATGCATTATTTTGACAAATTTTTTTTTTTTTTTTAACGGTATCGCTCAATGCAAGGCCAATTATATTTGGCCACTTCTAGGCATAGAGCTAGAGGTAATTAGGGGAGTATATTGTAGCTATGTCATGAGATGGCGGTGGACCTTTGTTTTGAAGCTTTGTAGATTGTAATCGGACGGAAAGCAGCTGTTTGGAAGAGAGTTCCATAATTTTGCAGTCCGGGGAAATCAGTCTTTTGCATGACCAGTAAGCCACTTTTACTAGTTTTAGACAAAGAAAAACTAAAGCAGTCATCCTAAACTATATGAGGTGAAGCACAATGCTTTCTCAAGTAGATTATACATGTAGTGCAATGCCAAGCATAGGCGCTCAATCTTATAGCCAAGCACACTGGGTCAACCTCTACACTTCTCAATAAGTATGCTTGGTTCTTTTATGTTTAGTTTTGGTGCTATAAGTATAACTTATAAGCTCCCGCATACATGGGGCCACCAGCTGTATGTCACCATCTGAAATCTTTAGACGTACCGGTATATAACACACCAGTTCTGTTTGTAGATTAGTCATCTTTTAGTATGTTTTTTTACAATTATATAGCAGTATACATACATAGCTGCCATGCATTGTACTGTACATGTACCATCTTTTAACACTGGCCCCCAAGAAGCAGTGATGTCAACTGTACAGCGCAGAAAGCTGCAATGGTTTGGACATGTGACACGCCACAACAAGCTGGCAAAGACCATTCTACAAGGAACGCTGGAAGGGAAGCGACGGCAAGGTAGACAGAAGGAAGTCTGGCAGGATAACATCAAGGACTGGACGCCCCTCACCGTCCCACAACTTCTGACAGCAGCCCAAGTTAGGAAAACCTGGCTACACCTCTACTGCAAAGTCCCCCTGACGACCAGTGTCGGACATGGGACTAGGTAGGTAGGTAGGTAGGTAAGAGAAGTGTAACCTGTGTGTTTCTCGAAGTCCTTGTTGTTGATGATGATGGCCTGTCCCCGGCGGGTGTGGCTCATGTTGTACACAAAACTGAAATCCTCGTCTCCCGTACTGGTGTCCATCGGTGGATCCCGCGGGCTCCTGCCCTTAATACTGCTGGTATAAAAACAAGATAAGATGATCTACAGGTTAAAAAGCTTTGTTTCTGTTTTTTTAAATACATGTATAATGTATATCATTGACATGATGACATGAAATTTGAATTGGAACATAGTGTATACTATGTTTATTTTCTGGGACCTCAAATTTTCTTGCTGGTACATGCAAATTTCATATAGCAGGTGGGACTGTCAAGATCTGTTGGTACTTGATAGTGTTCAATTGAATATAAATTATGTAAAATGCATATGCCTGAAATATGAAGACACTCAAGGTAAGCATTGGACAGTGTTGGGTAAGGTTTGGATTTAATCAGGCTAGGACTTAGGCCAAGGACTCACACTGGTTAAAGTAGGGCTTGGAGTATCATAGTAAGTAGTCAAGGGAGCACTGATGGATATGTGTTTCAAAGTATAAAAGTTTAAAACATAATGTTCTCATTATTTACATGCAACAAATTCAGAAAGAATGATTTCTAAATTTGCCCATTACCAGCAGAGCTACATGTAAGTGTATTTGATGTACATGTAACTCACCCGAGGAATTTCATGACGCCGGCCGAGGCGCCCTTCTGTGCGTCTGTCGTGTCCCCGCTTGCCGCCGCGGCTGCCCTCCCCCGGGCCGGTGCCGCATCGTGTTCATCTCGAGAGTCCAGACGAGGGCTTGGGAGGTCCTCTCCTGGGGCTGATTGGAAAAGATTTAAAGCTTTTTAAAACAAGTCGTTCATCATCATCGGTTGACCGTATTTGTCAGGGTTATAGTGCCCCTTACGAGGTGACATACTCTTTCATTAGCTTTTTAATACAAGACGGGGTTCGCCAGGCATCCCGCCCGGGTGGTGATGTTAATCACCATGTCTTGAGTGCATAGGTCTACATTACTTTGCAGACGGAGTACACAAATTTTCAATGGCAGAAGAACACTGATGAACTGGAAGAGAGAGAGTCCAGCGGTGGGCTCGGCAGAATCTGATCCTCCGCAGGGGCTGATGGTGGAAAGTTTCAAGAGTCTAAGGAACAGATCAGTATTATAATGTTCATGAGGGATATATATCCCCTGTCTTGTCCATTGTAATTTGTAGGCAAACAGACTTTACAATTCAAAGAGTTTTATCCATTATGTATAAGTTTGCTTTTTGGTGTCACGGATAAAGAAATAAACAGAGAGATTACTAGTACATGCACAGATTTTTACTGGTTGGCAGAAGAAGCAGGACAAGCTTAAGATACCAAAAAATAACACTTTACTCCCTTAGGATGAAGTAAGAATTCCTGCATGACCTTGTTGTGTTATCTCTTGATCCATAACCTCTCCTGTGATATGTACTACATATACATACATGGAAATGTTTTGATAAATCTTGGTCATGTTTCCTCAGATATTAGAGTAGCAGTGATACAGACCTGCCATGAATCAACATCAACAGGAAATACTTGAATTACTTGCACATGACAGTGAAATACCTTGGAGACAAATGTCATTACTTCAGTCTCTATTAGTACTTATCATCCAAAACATACGTATACAGTCAATAGGAACATTTTGACTTAACATTCTATCTGCTTTATGTACTAGAGACAGTAACTTTATACACTATCACGGTTATTCACCTACTAGTATGCCTTTTATAATAGTAAGTAGTACTTTGTATTTTTTTTTACAGTCTGGTCAAACTGGCAATTTTTTTCAGAGACCGAAAGGTTTTCTGCTGAAGGACTAAAAATGACAATTGTTGACATGATGGTCTAGTTATTCATACACAAACTATGGGTTAAGACACCTAATGTCCTTATAGCCTGATGACATCATATTTGTGATAGCTGGGGTTCCCATAAACTTGTAATAAAACAAATTGGATGTCACCCAGGCTAACATAATTAGATTGACTGTTACAACCCAGTTATATTTATAGAGGCTTTTCATTGACGTCACAGTAATTATCATAATAATCCCAAAGACCAGGTGTTGGCAGGTAAACTGATTAAGTTTCAGCAAGAACATTATACACATTGATGTAAAAAAATAACTAAAATGTCCATGGTTTCAGTATGTTGGCATGTTCAACAGACTGTCACTCAAATCCAACATGGAGTATGTGAAAGCCTCTATACATGGCTATACATGGTCTCCCTTTTTCCCAGTAACAAGGCATGACATCATGATCAGTGCATGTTGTTCTGTCTCTCTTTGGTTCAGGGTTACTTGATCTGACTTGCCTTGGCTACAAACTAGTTCTGCTGATAGAGATAAGGACCTAAGTGGCCTTGAGCATGTGTATCTTCCTTATCAAGCCTCCAAAATCATTTCCAGATAAATGCACATAAGTGGCCTTGGTTTTTGTGCCAAGAACATGACATGATATGTACATGTATAATATTTCAGCCTCCATGAATCCAAAGATCTTTAAAAATCCTTGATGAATCTAAGATCATGGCAACATCATGTCTTAGAAATAAGCCGATTTGTTGGACTGGTGAAAAAATTGGACTTGCATGATTGTGTGATATGTATATAATTTACTGACACTAATATGCTTGGATGTCTACATTGAAATCTTGCCGGGTGTGTTCTCCTGGGATCATGAGTCATACACCCCAACATAACCCTAACCTCCCTGTACATGCGTAACGTTAATGTTAGTAATTTGTTACTGTAACAGTCATTTAAATCATTCTACTAGTACTAAGCACATATAGGTCCATGCTATATAATCATGCACATTTATTTTCTGTAACTGATAGTCTTATGAACATGGCTATATACACTCCGAGAGTGTATATAAAATCTATTTGTCTTTTATATACACTCTCGGAGTGTATATAAAATCTATTTGTCTTTTATATACACTCCGAGAGTGTATATAAAATCTATTTGTCTTTTATATACACTCCCGGAAAGTTGATAGGGCATTCGAATGATCTGTCGCCGGTGCTAAGACCGTGCGATCGGCTGGGTTATCCAGAGTCACCAAGGGACCGGGGCGAACCCCGGGTTGGTCTTGGTCTGATAAATGCACGCCAGACCGTGAGGTCGGCGCTTCTGCCGCATGTATTAGCTCTAGAATTACCACTGTGACAGTTATCCATGTAGGATGTGACGATCAAAGGAACCATAACTGATTTAATGAGCCATTCGCAGTTTCACTGAGACAGTTTAAACTTGCACGTGCATGGCTTAATCTTTGAGACAAGCATATGACTACTGGCAGGATCAACCAGATAGCGAGGACGCCAGGGGCGGGCGACCGGTCTCGCCGCCGCCACCGGGAGCGGAGGGTCCCGGGCCCCGCGCAAGCGGGGCGGGGCGGTCCGCTCTCTGCTCGACCGAACTTCGGTGGGGATTTCCGTGTTGTTCTCTGATTTTCATCATCCACTAAGATAAACTTGAACACCGAGGTTTAAACTTGGTGCCCCTGAATCCTCAAACACTCACAAAAACCCAGGTTTTGGGCCTACCAAGGAGGCTAGTATTTCAGAGTGTATATAAAATCTATTTGTCTTTTATATACACTCCGGGAGTGTAAATAGCCACGCCGTAGTCTTATACTTGTACAATTACATGTACATGTACCATTGCTTGTGTTACATCATTATAGCAGCCTGACAAATAATTTCATTATTTTCATTAAATCGAATGCAGGGTCGAATGTGAACAAATTTTTTTTGCTGGAAAAGCTACTGTAGTATAACTGACTTAATACCCCCCCCCTCTATTGTTGCATTGGGCAATTGCGATGAAAAACAATTAATCTACAGTCAAATGTCATGCACGGATGCACACAGTTGACAATCCACTCGCCAGAGACGTAACGAAGCAAGTCAAAACATGTCGGCGTTACATGTAAGTAAATATTCATCGGCGAAAAACAAGGGGGAGGGGGGCAACGAAGCAAAAACTTACCGTCGCACGAATCGTCCATATTTCTGATTTTCCTACCAGCTTACAGATGAGATAAAATCTTGAAAAGTTGCCCGGCGCCTGTATATACCCTGGAGCGCGTTGTCCCTTGTGGTCAGGTCTAAAATAGCTCCACACTCAGTCGTAAACTTCCCACACTAAAAGCCGGAAGTTGTCAGACTGAGTCATCGAGAAAAAAATAGACGCATACTTTTTTTCAAAAAATAATTTTAAAAATCAAAATTTTACATAAAACTGGAGGAATAATTCATAAAAATGGATATGCTGTCCTTTTCTAATATTTTTTGTGAGCAAAAAATGGAATACTTAATTTTTTTGTATTGTGGGTCAAAGGTTGAAAGGTCAAAGATGGCTAGGAAGAACGCCTGGTTACTTCCGGGTTCCGAATGTCAGAAAAAGTTTCACTTTCGTGATTATTGCAGTGACGTGTCGTGTTATTCTTAGAAATTTGGAAGGAAATTTCTAGTCATCCTTGTGTTTGAGAAACCTCAGTGGTCAGTGGCTAATTTTAGCCGATGTTTTAAAGCTAGTTTGTTGAAAAGTGCGGCCACAGAACTTGGAAAAGTTTTTGAAAAGTTTGGAGGCAGAAAGATTTTTTACAGGTGTATCTACAGAATGGGCGACAGGACAGCAGGTATTTTCAGCTTGTATCTTTGCTATTTGTCTGTGATTTTGGACAAACATAACCCAGGTGTCTTTTTATTTACAGCATAATAATGATACAGTAACTCGAATAATCAACGACCATGTTGGAAATTACAGTGGTAACGACTAGTACGTTGGCATGTTTAATATAAAGTTTTAGGCACAGGCCCTGTCAAATTACCCTGACCTTCGTGCTAAGCCTGCCAAGAGTAGAGTCTTAAATGTTAACAACAACTTTTTATAGTAACAATTATCTAACAATAGTATAAAATAGTATACAACTTTTTATACTTACTACCGGTACTTGACAATAGTATAAAATAATATTTGACTTTAGTATATTGACAGGGCCGAGCCTAAACCTTGATAATCAATATAACATTCTGCTGACTACAACGGAGTCCAATTTTTTAGTTGAGGGAATCAAAATTGTTCCATAACGAAGTGGTTCAAATGTATATTGTCTTTAATCCATCACCAGGAGAGGATGTGACTGACGCCATCCCGTCTGGACCGGAGGTGGCCAGCATCACGGGAGAGCAGGTCAGGAGAACCGTGGAGAAACTGTCGGTGGAGGAGACAACTCAGGAGAAAACTCCTGCCAGCAGGTGAGCCACACTCATACAACACACGCACAACACTCATAACACTATATAAGTCTCATACAACACTCACACAACACTCATACTGTATCTGTATCTGTATAGCCAGTATAACCGCCTTTTGGCGTAACACACCAGCAAGTACAACACTCATACAACACTCGTACAACACTCGTACAACACTCATATATACATACAACTCTCATACAACACTCCAAACTTTGTATCGTATTTATTTTCTTTAAATTTCTTTTTGGTTGATGTGTGTGTGGGGGGGGGGACACTATTTTACTGTCACTCTTTGTTTACAAAGGGCAAGCATGAACAAAATTTGTGATTGAGTAGACTATGGAAATGTTTGTTAAGTGCCTTTCTCAAGGGCATGATACAGGGGCATGCTTTGGATTTAAAAGACAACCAGGCAAACCTTTAGATTCAACACCTTTAAAGTCAACAACTTGCCAGCTTGCCACCAAGTGATCATGTGTATGGATATACCGGCTACAAGTTGGTCATCAGTAGTCTGGATTCAAACTCTTGACCAAGAAAAATTTATCAAAGAAAGATCATGTAAGTTTTACATCCATGTTCCTCAGGTCCCCTGAACCCCAGACTAGTATTGGAAACATGACGTCTGCTCCAACCATTGATGTTCACAGTCTGACTGGCACTAAGAAAGTCCAGGAGCCTCCAAACACTTCAGAAACAGGTAGGGGAGAGAACAGGTACACAGCATTCAACTTACTAATAGTTCTACATGTAACTGTGTGCAATCCTCTTCATACTTTTTTTATACTGCACTTTTTTTCATGAAAGTAAACAAAAAATATAATTTTTTGCTAATTTGTTGCAGCACCTGGCAGTTATAAAATGGCATCAGTCCATGGAGAGAGGAGCCTTGAGCCAGAGACAGTGCCCAGTGGTGGAGAGAAACATCAGGGTGAGAAACAGAAGACTCCTGCCATGTCTGATCACCAGGACCTGTCCCACATGTACAACATGAACCACAACAGGAGGGGACTGGCTGTTGTCATCAACAACAGGTAAACCTGGGAATCATTTCATATCTATGGTTGGCAAGAGACTGTATCAGAAGTTCTGCCACTGTGAGTATCTTGCCTGATGATGAAAGCTGAAGGTTCTTTACTAGTATACTCAACAACCAGTCACAGGTTTTCACATCTAGCACTTTGGTGATCGTCTGTCACCTTCTTCTGAGGGCAACAACAACTCAGATTCTGATTCATACTGCAGCTATATGCCATATTGTACCTGACACATATACCAGTATTCTGTAAGAACTTAGATATGTTTGCAACTGCATTTAACTGCAGCAGTGACACCTACATGTAGCTGCAGTTACTAGGAATCAAAATAAGTTATTGTTGTCCTACAGAAGTGGCGGAAACATTGATTCACCATCCCTATGAGACTTTTTCATGGATTTTTGTTGGTCTCTGTTCAGAGATTTTGACAAGAAGACGAAACAGAAGGTGAGGAAAGGCACCGACATCGACGCAGACAGTCTGTTCAAACAACTGTCAGGCCTCGGCTTTGAGATGCAAATGAACGACAACCTGACCTGTAAGGAGATGAAGAAGGTCCTCAAAGAAGGTAAGAAACACAACGTTACAGTTCTAGCATCAACAATCTAGAAGTGATAATGGCTGGAGGCATCCCCACATCATGGTTACTGGCTATGATAAGAATGAAAAGAACATTCAGTTTGGAATCTTGGCATTGCTAGTTAAGCTTTGCAGGCATGCACAAATTCAACATTATGTAGCTTAAAAGTATAATACCTTGTACGTATGTATTTACTTTTCATACTTTACACCCCAAGAGAGAGGGTTAGTAGATACATGTAATTGCGTCCTGGTGCTCTGCTGAGTCATGGGGAGTGTGTGTGTGTCACAGTGTGTGTATCTGTGTGTGTTTTTCCAGTTCCCTATAGCTTTATAAATGTAGTTTTTGAAGCGTTACAAAGCAGTATAAGTAAAGGGACTGATGTTCCCAAGTCCCCACAGCCGCTGCTGCAGACAACAGCAATGCAGACTGTGTCCTTGTGGCCCTACTAAGTCACTGTGTGTGTGTGTGTGTGTAGCTACGTGTAGTTTTTGAAGCGTTATAAAGCGGCACAGGTAACTGAAGTCTGCCATTTCTAACATCCCACAGCTGCTGCTTTGGACCACAGCGAGGCAGACTGCATCCTGGTCGCGCTCCTGAGCCACGGAGATTATGTTTGCGTATTTGTGTGTTTTTGCAGTTCCCTTTAGCTACAAAATGTATGTACACAGTAATGTGGGTGATGTATCTCTGATGTTCCTACATGTATCTC